ACCACCAGCACTCAAACCACCAAATCCAGCCCCAAACCACAACCATCACCAGAGCCCTGACCCCTAGGGCTGTGATAGGGTTTTTCATCTTTTTGAGACTCTGTACTTGTTCTTGTGTGAACTTGGGCAAGTGTGTAATGGGCGAACCAGGGATGCCTGACTCCCAGGTGGGGCCTTCACCAGCCCTACCTTCCAGGCCTGTTAGCATAATTAAAGGAATGGGCAGCTGCAGATGACTTGGCAGGTTCGGACACTGTAACAGTGATGGCAATGAATGGCCGTCCCCGCTGCCGTCAGCTCTCCACACGTCACTGGCATCAGCCCAGCTCAGTGTCTCTGCCCGTTCCGACAGCCCTCTCCTCGTCGTTAAGCTCTGCACGCTCAGTGGACCACGGTGGAGTGCCGAGGGCTCCTTGCCTCCCTGTTTCCTGAGATGTCAGGGCTGCCACAGCTCCCTGTCACAGACAAGGAGATGGGTGGCATGCTGAAGCTGGCATCCTGGTGAGCACAGAGCTGCTGCCGTAGCCTTCTATTTTGTGGTGCTACTGTGAACTGACTCACCCTGTGTTCTCCGTAGGTGACTATCCTGCACCCAGAGCCGTCCTCACAGGCCATGACCACGAGGTTGTCTGCGTGTCCGTGTGTGCAGAGCTGGGACTTGTTATCAGTGGTGCTAAAGGTTAGCCATTTTTAAAAATGTTACATCCTAAGGATGGGGGTAATGGGGGCAGGTACCAGAAAGGCAGAGCAACTGGCTTCTGGTTCCCCAGAGAGAGGAAGGAGGTGAGTGGGGGACAAAGGAGAATGGGCCCTGTGTGGCCCTCACAAGAATCATCCCATTTGCCACAGTCCAAAAGAACCATTACAGACAGTTTCATCAAAGACCCCATAGACAAATCCTGATCAGAAGAGGTAAATGTAGATAGAATTTCACATTCTCACAGACAGTGGACTTTCTGTAACCAACAAGAGTAGATGAATTCCTGAAACCATTTCGTTAAAATAATCTTTAAACCTTTAACCAGATATATTCCTTGAAATCATCCCAAAACAGAGCAACAGATTAGCTTGTTCAGTGATACAAGGCCTTCACGTAGCACGCTGTGCTCTGTTATGACCCATGTGTGATCAAATTGACAACAGCAAGCAAACTGAGAGGCAGGAGGTGTGTGTGAGCGAGGGGCACCATTCACTCGGGAGCGGGAGGAGGGCTCCACAGCCTGAGGAGTGTGTCTGGTGTCGCTAGCTTGCAAATGCAGAAGCTGCTCAGTTGTTGGATATTATGCTGTGTGGTTCCTCACCAGCGGCAACCACATAAATACCGTGGGGGCATGCTGTCTTTGCTCTCAAGCTGCCACAGTTGAGATTTCTCTCTTCCAGGAGGAACTCCTACACAGATAGAATCCAGAGAACTTTTGTAGCTGATCCATTAGAATATCACTGTTCACTAGTAATTAATAGCAAATGTATATACAGTTTTATGTAATGTTTTGTAACCATTCTAGACAAAACACTTTTCAATTAAGTTGCATATTGTACATCCATCCAATACGACCTTTAAAAATAATATATTAAAAGACAAGCAGTAAATTCCTATGATGGGGAGGCCATGATGTAGCAGGGGGCGTGGGGAGTGGAGATTGGGAGGGAAAGAAAACAAACACCCATGATGCAGTGGGGGGTGAAAATACCCATGATGCAGTTGTCATTGTTGTTGTTCTGTGCTGTCGAGTCGCTTGCGACTCATAGCGACCCTATGTACAACAGCCCTAAACTCTGCTCTGTCCTG